CAAGTAATTGTGAATCTCCGGGATCGGCCAGTCCGTCCGCACTAGACGTGGCGGACGAGGCCGTTGGAGAATGCTGCTTGCCTGCCATTGCTGGATGCTGTGGATGGTGAGCAAGCAGCTTCACTATGAGGAGAGGGGGTAAAGGAAAGAAGGGGAAATGAATATGGTGATGATGATGATGAAAGGAGCGACAGGAGAATGCCCCCGTTATTTGAGGGGTCAGAGCTTGAACTTCCGGGGCACGGCAGGGAGAGGCAGGAGACGAAATGTATTAAAGTTTGCCAAGCAGCGGCGTACCCACGTACCCGTGGATGTCGAAGCCATTTTGTCTTGCCTCAAACTTCAGCATTTCCATGCTCACTGGCAAATGGCGTCTCTTAGTGAAATTTAGTGGTTGAGTAGTCTCCAGTACCAGGGGCGTTGACTGGATTGAATGGAGTCGATGGACTTTCTTCCCCACATAGGAGCTGGCATGGGCCTGCGATCGGCGGGTCTAGTCGGTTGCAAAGCAATGGTCGAAGTGGAACCGGATGCGATCTCCTCGAGCAATCTGCCAGTCATTGGAAAAGTGAGATTTCCAGGCACTAATTTAGCCAGGTTGTTGCAGAATGCAAATTGCTCGCGCCTGCAAACTAAATTAGTTCCTGCAGCACCACGGCTGGAATGGAGGTCAGTGCCACAGACTCGGGAACGTTACTAGGAAGCAGCCAGCCAGTTTGGTGCATTTTCCCGCGTCTGGTCTCCTTGTGACAACTGGCTCGAAGAGTGATGATGTCAGCACTTCCAAGTTGTGTAAATGGAACAGACGATTACATCAGCTATGCTAACTAGTTACTGTGCGACTAGCCACATATAGCTAGTGCTGGTTTTCACCCGCATGGTTACTGTAACCCATTCCTTATCGTCAACAAACCCACCTCCTCAGCCACTGCACCTTATCAGTTGATCCATTCTAGAACTATGCGTCGAATCTAGCCCATCATGTCGTCCAATGCGAGCGACTCTAGCGACACTGAATCACCCAGTCCTCCTCCCCAGCCCATTTTGACAGCTTGTCAAGATGTGAGTTCGCCTATCCTGCATCATCCTCGTCGAACTGTTGCTGAGGAATCTAGGAACAAGTACTGTCTCTAGACCTCGAGGAGAATGATTTCCTCTATCGGGTGCGAAAGAAGAATCGGGTTGTTTACGTTTGGGTCCTCGGTGAAGGCATCATTCCTCCAGACTATAGGACAGATAGCTATCGGATTCTTCTGTACCTGCGAAGGGTCCCACGTTGGGAGGAAGAATGGACAACACTCACAGTGCGAAAGGGAACTCTTGGCCTCGAAAGCACGCTAGAAGAATTCCAGCCACACGGATTGAATCTGGCAAAGCTTGACATTTCGACTGCCAAATTCTACAATCTGTCAAACCTCACAAAAGTGTCTAGAATCGGTGATCGCCTCTCCTGTGTACGGGCTGACGACAACAACGAGATATGGGTTATGAAGATAGCGCGATTCAAACATGAGGTCCGCTATCTGCAGCAGGAGGTATCCATATATTCCACCCTATCGTCCGCTGGCTTTCCACTTGCCCCGCGTTTTGTTGGATACGTCTACGAGGGGACAAAGGATCGTACAATCGGCTTCCTTATGGAGATGATTTCAGGCTATCCACCCGACATACAGGATCTGGAAGAATGCAAAGGCACTATTCGCCTACTGCATGCCCTCGGAATTCTCCACGGAGACACCAATAAGTACAATTTTCTGATAAATGAGAAAGGCGCCCAGGTATTCGACTTTGAAGCCTCAGTTGCACTAGGGACTGTCGATCCGACGGCATCTCAGAAAGAGCTTGATGGTCTCGAGGCCAAATTGAGCGATAAATCAGGCGTCGGCAGGAAATAGGCCCCATGACATGATTGTTCGGAGCCTGGAAACTGATCAGAGCCTGTACTGCAGATCTCAATGAGGTAACATAGAGACTTACTCGTCAACTTCCATCCTCCTTAGGCGCTCTTCAGACACTTGCGGCACATGTGCAAAGTTTCCTTGGTATCAATATGGTCAATTTCCTTGCTGTTGCACCGCAGCTCTGCCTGGGTGATATGTTTGACACATTTGACGAACTCGCCGGGTGTTGTGTGTCCGCAGCGATAACGAGTCTGCTCCTGAGTGCAACGATCGTATGACTTGGAGGCTTTATCAGGCTCGGCAGCTTTTTCAATGGCAAAAGTGAGTATACCCTTTAATGGCTCAAATTGTACAAGTGACTGACCTTTCTGCTCCATTTTGGAGTCGAAATGAGTAGTTTGAGGTTGCTTATGAACAGATTTGAGGAAGTGTGACGCGATCAGATTGTGTGAACTTCGTGCTCTAGTGTTGATTGATGAGGAAACGTACTCAGGCGTGCAGGCAGAGGTGGAGAGTTGTATGCTCACTTGGTAGATAGTCCTAGAGCAGAAACACAGCAATCAATTAGGATTGAATTGATACTCCAGGCACCGGTTCAGACCAGGGTGTCTGCCTCGCTATGCCCGTGTTGGATAATAGAAGAGCAGTCCATCATGCTCTACATTTACATTGAGAGAAATACCGGAAGATTAAGTGAATGAAGAACCCTCCCTGGCATCGAATCTTACGACAAACATCGTCTAAATCTCAACCGATATGTTTCATCAGGTCTTGTATGATTGCATACTAATTCTATCTGTTTTAGTCACTCGATCATAACTTCGACATGAGTATCTATATAGTATGGTGTTTATGTATTACTCGGAATTTTGGGTTATTTGTAAAGTTCGTGGGCGGGGGGTACAGCAAGAGGCAGATTCATTCTCCAATCCAGTAACTTGATATGGAAGTACAGTACAGCCCAGCACTGCTAGTCGCTGCTTGATTTACCTGCGATCTGCAATTCTGTCGGTGTTTCTGAGTAATCCAGCCCATTTTATCCAAAGGTCTACACCTCTCATTTACACGCGAAGGTAGCTAGTTCCAACCACCAAGAACAAGCCAAGAACCTCCAAGAATTCAAAAAATCGTTCCATATCAGCCTACCTCTGAGCCCTCAATCGCTTACACATTCCATGTTGGGCGCTGTGCGCGAGCCCACTCAGTAGGTACTCCCCATCTACCTAAGCTTCAGCAACGAGCAATTGAAATAGGATATGTGGGTTTGATTAGCGTAGTGTGTTATCAAAATACATCAAATGTAAACGCCTTATATTAACAGAGTTCAAGTCTTGAAAGCAATCATGCATCCCATACAGCCGCCTTCGCCCGTTCCTCTTCCTCCTTCGCCTTGGCGGCTTCCTCGCGCTCTTTATTTCTCCGCTTGATCTCCTGCTCTTTCACCGCTCGATCGTATGCCCGCTGCTCTTCCGTACGCTTCGGGGCTCGAATACCCAGTGCGCCTGCGATCATTCGGTTCGCTACCGCCGTCTGCTTCTCGGGCCGCCGGCCCGACACTGGAGATTTAGAGTCTGATGATCGGGGCATGGAGCCGGCGTTGCCGTAGGAGGGCCATGGCTGGTTTAAGGTTGTTTGCGGAGAGAGCGGGGTAGGGGGAGGGTCGAGAGGGTCTTCGGAGGCGCGGATTGACGGCGACAGCACGGGGTTGTTGTCCGGCTCGTCGGGCTCGGAGGCGCTCTCGTCTACCTCATCTTCCCAGGAATCTGCCACGGGGGCAGCTTTCTTCTTCTTGAGGGCGGAGTGAGGGAGTAATGACGGGCGCGCAATGTCTTTCACAGGACTTTTGGTGCTGAGCGCGAGCTCACGGAGAGAGGATTGGAGCTCCGAGGTCGCGGTAGCTACAGAGGTCGACATTGAAGAGATTAGCAAATAAGGTTATTAAGTACGTTACTTGGGAGAAGAGATATGCAAATGGAATTAGTGGAAACGCCAGAGGTAAAAGCTGGCTGGAGGTAGCACACGAGGGGTGGTGTGAAAGGTCGGTCGGAGCTTGGGAAGAGGGACGGAAATAAAAGGAACAAACCGTCGGAGTTGACACTGGTCTGGGCTGCCATGCCTTCGCACTGATGTCGTAGGTCTGATGAAACGGCAGCGATCAGTTGGAGTTAAGACCAGGGCTGTATAACAATCAGTACAATCAGTTGGATGGAAGCAGGGAAGGTGAGATCATGAATGGCGTTAGTCGGGGAAGGGAACCCCGCCTTTTGCGCTGCCCGCGGCAGCCTGATTGGCCTGGGGCAGCCACTGGAATTTTCTACTCCGTGTCTAAATGTCCATCACTCCGCCTTCCCTCCCGAAAACCTGGAGGAGACATTTGTTGTTATCCTGATTAGGATATTGGTTACGTGCCCCGGGCCACAGCTCCTATTCCCACATGCATGTACTGTACCCGTTACATGAGGAGCTCTATCGCCTCCAACTGTACATCTGTGCACCCTTCGCCCCCTTCTCCCCCTTATTTCGCTCGGAGATCTGCAGTCCTTGGGGACCCTGTTCCAGTCAACATTTGAAACAGTCTGCGTCACTAATGATTAATGATCTGTTGGGGAAGCTCAGTCCGCCTTGCCTTATGGGTAATAGGGCCGTGGTAGCGGTGGACAGGCTAATGCTGGTGCTACTGTAGCTGAGGCCGAAGCTAGCCATGTTTAAGTGCTAAGCTAATGATGACTAGGCTAATGTCTGAGCCTCGAGATTCCATCCAGATGCCTGAGGTGTCAATGCACGCAAGGTGCCGTAATCTTTTGCCGCTCCCCGCATTCATTGCTCTAGTCTGGCTTCGGCTGCCTCCAGATCCCGAGTCGGCGGTGCCTCGACTTTTTCCCTGCCGAACCAACGCTAGGAAATACTCTTCCCCCTCCTTCGAGTCCCAGAAGTGATGGTTCTATAATGCTCCGTCTCTGGTCGTCAATTCGAGCACCCTCCGTTTCAGCATCGTCCACCCTTCTCACGAGCTCTGCTGGTTCTTTCAGCGCTCAATTTTGTCATACTCCGACATATCGATTCTCCGCTTCCCTCTTCACTGCAACCCCAACTACGAAAATGAAGCACCATCTCATGGTCGGTACCTGGACCCCTCCAGGACGCATCTACACGGTCGCATTCGATGACGAAGCCTTGACCCTGGACTTGGTCAAGAAGACCGACATTCCTGAGGCGGAGCCTATCTCTTGGATGACTTTCTCGGTAAGCATGTTTTTGCCTGCCACCTTGATAGTTCGGCTCGGAAAACTAAGTCATTTTTAAAAGCACGACAAAAAAGCTATCTATGGCGCTGCTATGAAGAAGTGGAACAGCTTCGCTGTGAACAGTCCTACCGACATTGTCCACCAAGCTTCCCACCCCGTCGCTGGTCATGGTAAGGCATTGTTGCTCTGCTGCGTCTAAGCTTGCGAAATCTGATCTCCCTCCCGCAGAATTGGCTGCCAGCGCTGATACCAACACCCGTGCGATCTTCGTGCTCGCCGCGCACAAGCCCCCCTACAACGTCTATGGCAACCCCTTCTACAAATACGCCGGCTACGGCAATGTTTTCTCCACCAACGAGGATGGCAGTCTGCGCGAGAACATCCAGAACTACGAGTATGAGCCGAACACCGGCATCCACGGCATGGTCTTTGACCCCACGGAGACATATCTGTACTCGGCCGATCTGCAAGCCAACAAGATCTGGACACACAAGAAGGATGCTACCACGGGACAGCTGGATCTGGTTGACTGCCTCGAGGCGCCCGCGCCGGGTGACCATCCCCGCTGGGTTGAAATGCACCCCAGCGGTAAATACCTCTATGTGTTGATGGAGGCGGGGAACCGACTTGGCGTGTACGTTATCGACGAGCGCACCCATAAGCCAGTCTTCACCCACATCACCTACCCATTGCTTCCTGGCGGTAAGTCTGAATCAGCCCCAAAACCACCGAGACTCGATATTTTACTATTCGAGGCTCTCTGAGATCGACACTAATTCAGCATAGGTCTTCCCCCGCGGAACAAGTACCGTGGTGATGTGACTTTCACCACCAAGAGCGGCAAATATCTGTTCGCAACCACCCGCGGAAACTCCTTCGATATCACGGGGTACATCACAGCCTTCAAGCTGGGTCCCAGCGGAGAAATCGAGCGCCAGCTATTCATTCACCCCACGTCGACCAGCGGCGGACACTCCAACGCCGTCAGCCCCTGCGATTTCAGCGACGAGTGGCTTGCTCTGTGTGACGACCAACTTGGTTTCGTCGAGATCTACCGTTTCCGCGACGAGAACCTTGCTCGCGTGGCTCGGGTTGATATCCCTGAGATGGGATTCGGCATGAACGCCATCTGGTATGATTAGAAATGCAGACAATAGCCTGTAAAGTACATAGATAGATGATAATGAAGTCCAAGTCTAATTTTATTGCTTATCAAAATGATTTATAAGCTGTCGCAAGCATGTCTTGTGTTCGGTTGTGTTTTATCGAGTCGAGTCGAGTCGAAAAGAACTTAGTTTGACTTTGTGAGCGCGTTGCAGTACTTGATCCGCATGGAAGTTGTTTTTCCCTCTGGCTATTCAATTTACTACCATGATTAGAAGCCGGCTCCCCTGAGGCGAGTATGGTCAGATGTCTTTGTGCACCGCTCCGGCAGCTGGCGGACAAATTTTGCCTCATTATCCGCATCCGGCTCTGAAAAGTTTGGCACGTGCCGGACGGCAGACACTTCGGAGATTGTCACGTGAGAGGATCGGATCTGTGGTCGGGAAGGCCATTGGCCAATCAAAAGTCGAGCAATCACGATGAGGCCAGGAACCGCGGGCGAGCTGGGGGGGATTGACAACTCCGGGGAAGAAAATCACGGGGGCAGAGTTGAGTCAGCCGAGTTGAGCTCTTAGCCGCGGGTACGAGCGGGTAAGAGCTCCCCCGGGATCACCAGCGCGCGATCGCAGCAACCACTCCCATCGAACGTTTTACCCATACAGCTGCAATTTTTAGTTACCCCCGGAGTGCCATTGACCACTATATTCCACCAAAAGGTAGATTCGGGATACTTTGATAAGATCCTACCGTCTTTCGGCTGACGATCCGACAGATGCGACCATGAATTGCACGATCAGGCCATCCTCCAAAGCATCGGCATGTGGGAACAGTGGTTTTACCGTTGCGCTTCCCCCCACATCCCCAAACGAGCCGAACGATTTGCCGTCACGGTCCGTATTCAGACTTGCCACGCCTGGCTGAACCGTGTATATAGACCCCTCGAGTGCTCCAGACTGTCGCTGAATTCTCTTCCTCCCCATCTTGTCCATACCCATCACCCAGCTTGTTCTTGAACAACTTCCTCCCCTCACACACAACCGCCAAAATGTCTGCCGAACCTCGCTGGGACCCCAACTTCACTCCCTATGTCATCAACGCCATGGGCCCCAAGACTCCCGAGCGTGCTCGTGTGATTCTGGGCTCTCTGATCAAGCACATCCACGACTTCGCTCGTGAGGTCGAGCTCACTCCCGCCGAGTGGATGATGGGTGTTGAGTTCATCAACTCCATCGGCCAGATCAGCACTCCCATCCGCAACGAGTGCCACCGTATCTGCGATGTTATCGGTCTCGAGTCGTAAGTTTTTTTTTTCGGACGTATCACATTTCGTCGCTGCAGTCAAACTGACCTCTCTAGCCTTGTCGACGAGATCGCCAACAAGATCGTCACCGAGCAGGGTCTCTCCCCCACCTCCAACGTCATCCTTGGACCCTTCTGGTCTCCCAACGCCCCCTTCCGTGAGCTCGGCGACAGCATCATCCAGAACCCCCTCCCCAACGGCCAGGTCACCTGGATGCACGGCCGCATCACCGACATGGAGACGGGCAAGCCCATCGTGGGCGCCGTGCTCGACATCTGGCAGGCGTCCGCCAACGCGATGTACGACTTCCAGGACCCCGAGCAGAGCGAGAACAACCTCCGCGGCAAGTTCCGCACCAACGAGAACGGCGAGTACTTCTGGTACTGCTACCACCCCACCGCCTACTCGCTGCCCACCGACGGGCCTGCCGGTGTGCTCCTCAACCTCATGGACCGCTCCCCCTTCCGCCCCGCGCACATCCACCTCATGATCACCCACCCCGACTACGCCACCATCATCAACCAGCTCTACCCCTCCACCGATCCCTACCTTGACATCGACTCCGTGTTCGCCGTCAAGAACGATCTGATCGTCGAGTTCAAGCCCAAGACCGACGACCCCAAGGCCACCTTGGACCTGGAGTACAACGTCACGATGGCGCTCAAGAAGCACCACCCCAACCCCAACTCGGCTCCTCCCGTTTCCTCCTTCGAGCGCTTCAACAAGGGCCAGAAGTTGTAAAGCGACGCTGAGCGAGTGGATTCCGTGCAAAATGTCTTGTGTATATAGATTTTAGCGATTGTGGTTTTCTTTTTGAGATGAATACCTCGAATGTTTATTCTAGCCAATTGAAGTGGATCTTCTACAATAGAATTCTTTTCAAATAACCTTGAACCATCCAACCTTGAACCCATCAAACCCCTAGTTTACATACTGCCAGTAACAACCCGCAGAGCAAGTCCGAGCGCGAAGCACTTTTGTGAAATGGAAGAATACATACCACAAAATCCGGGGAAACCCGCCACACCCCTCCAGGATCCAGATCTACACACCAGTCATCAGAAGGGCAAATGTAAAAAATAGAAAAAAAAAAAAAAGAAAGATTCCAGAGTAAAAAGATCGGGCCGAACACTCGGCAACGAGTGGGTACAACATGCCGAACGACGGCAGCTGGTCCTACCCGGCGGTGGCCCCCACCCCTCCCAAACAGGCTAGCCGTTCAGGCCATCATCCCCCGCAATCACCCGCGCATGTTCCCCCGCCGTAGCGCCTGGCATATAACTTAACACCCGGCGCTACCCTTATCCATCCGCGCAGCCCACCTTCAACCATCCACCCCAACATCAAGCCCCTACCTACCTACCCACAAACAAAAAGCCTACAGTACACCACCACAAAAGAAAAACAGTACGTCCCCCCCCTTACTTCAGATCCAACCTCACACAAACTAACCCCCCCCCTCAGCTCCACATCCACTAAAATGCGCCTCCCCTACGCCCCCGCAACCCCACCCGCCAACTCCCCGGCCAAAGTCAGCGAAATCTACGCCCGGATCGCGGCACGCCGGTCGCCGCGGCCGCTCATCCCGCTCGACCTCTCCCTGCTGCACTCGCCGCCGGTGGCGGACGGGTGGAACAGCTTCCTGGGGGCGATCCGCACGGAGACCGTGATCGACCCGGGGCTGCTGGAGCTGGCGGTGTGCCGCGTGGCGGTGCTGACGGGCGCCGTGTACGAGTGGAACGCGCACGCGCCGCTCGCGCTGAAGGGCGGGGTGCAGGCGGCGGAGCTGCAGGCCGTGCGGGAGCTGGCCTCCACGGCGGAGGAGGATGCGCCGCCGGCGGCGCTCCGGGGAAGCGCGCTGAGTGTGAGGCAGCAGGCCGTGGTCAAATATGCGGACGAGATGACGCTGCGCGTGTCGGTCAGGGAGGGGACGTTTGCGGCGCTGCGGGCGGAGGGGGCGGGCGGGCTGAGTGACCGCGAGGTGGTGGAGTTGACGACGGGGGTGGCGGGGTATAACTGTGTGAGTCGGGTGCTGGTGGCGTTGGATGTGGGGGAGAATAATGGGCGGGAGATGAAGAGTGTGGAGGAGTTGGTGGAGGGGTTGAAGAATTAGATTTCTTGTTGGGATTTGCTTTTTCTGGTGGAGGTGGATGGGGGGGAGGGGAGGGATGTATATATGTGCTTTGGTTGAAAATGTGTCATTCGTTCTTGTTTCTAAGAGCTGAGTTGGTAGCTCGACCGAGACTGCTGTGGTGAGTGTTTGTGTTTGTTTGTGTTGCCTATACAGTTTACTTACAGGCAGTATGTCAAAATCGCAGGGGGTATGGATGCTAAGCGCCATATGGTATATATGTTCATTGAGAAGAGTAGTCGTGATACCGATACCCATCATAAGAATAAACTAATTAAGAGTGTCATTATTGTTATGTGTACTACCCAGAGCCCACCGCAAACCCCACCCCATCCCAGAACTAAAAGCTGGCAAAGAAATCTCGATCCCACAGCTCCGACACCCCGAAATCCGCCATGTCGAACAGGTTCCCGAAATCAAGCGGCTAAAACACTCGTCAGCATCCTGTCGTGTACACTCCCAAAGCAGGCAACTTACCGCATCCAGCCCGAACGAGGCAGGGTCAAAGGTGTCGATCGGGGCTGTAGCATCCAGCGACGGCAGACTGGTAGCGGTAGCGGGCTGCAAACAATTAGCAATGGAGACACTCAGAGTTGCCATTCATCAACTTACCATCGCGGAACTGCCCGTCTGATCGCGGACCGCAGCCCACGGCGTCCCCCGCATCACTTGCTCGCACTGCCGCATGCAAACCACGACATCCTGCTCAATCACCTTCTGCGGGTCCTGCCCGTTGATCCGTGCCTTGACAGACGCCAACACCATGGTGAGAAAGAAAAACGCCTTGCAGCCCTTGCCGCTGGGACCCATCCGGCTGCCGAAGGTGTCGATCGTCCGCTGCACCGCCTGCAGCATCACTTCCTGCTGCGATCGGACGAGATCATTGAAGGATGTCAACGTACTGGACGGGCCCATGGGCAAGGACTGCGGGAGGCTGAACTCGCACGACTGCAGGTACAGCTCCACGCACACCGTTAGGGCCGCATGGAGGAACTCATCGCGGAACATCCCGCCGCTGAGCTGCGCCAGCTGAGGCAGCGCCTGCTGCGTCTCCGTCGAGGGCTCGAGGTAAGAGAGCATCTGCAGCGCCGATTCCAGGCAGATCTTGCGCGAGTAGGAGAACTTCGGAGTCCGGAGGATGCTGAGGGCGAACGGGCGGTTGAGCACGAGCAGCGATCGTCGCATCAGGAACACCAGCATGGACTGTGCGAAGGAAGGATCCTCACCGACCGGAGTGGAGATGGTGGCAGTTGCCATGCGATGGAATATGCCGGCTCCCTCTTGCATGGATTGATTTATCTCCTCGCTCAGGCGCAGTGCTTCGTCGTAGGAGAGGGTGAATTTCAGCGTGTTGATGGCTTTGGCGATGTGCACCCGCAGCGGCAGGGTCTGGTGCAGTATAACCTGAAAGGTGCTGCGGGTGAAGGTCCCCAGATCCTTTGGCACAGGATCATCCGTCATGTCTTCCGTGAGTTGAGAGTCATCGAGGTTCGATGGAGCCTCGCAGTCGAATTCCTCCAGGTCGATGTTGGGCGGCATTCCCTTGTCGATTGACGATTGCAAGTCCAGCTCTACGATCGTGGCCCAGAGCCGGCGTCGCATCTCGGCCCAGAATTTGGTCATTTTGTGAAATCGGTAGGGACTCCGATGCAGGCCCATTGTCATCGCAATACGAATGAGGGAGCCGGAAGAGATCCAAACAATGTCCCCGTCAATAGCATCCGCTTGGCGTGCAATGAGAATCAGGCACTCGATCTGCAAGATATTGAAATCAATGGTCGAGCTGACCAGGGTCAAGGCAATCCAGGAGCGGACCCCCGCAATCCATTCTGCGGCGGCATCATGCAGCTTTTCTCGGCCATCGATCTTCGCCGTCGGACTAAGAAAGCAACTGCTGGCAGCCATCAGGGCTAGGAGTTTCGCAACGAAGCACCGGTCTCGTGGGCCCGACGCTGTCCAGTAAGCCTCATACTGCTCCAGGAAAGTCGGCACGTGTAAGATGCGGTAGGTCATCTCAAAGGTTGACAGGTACAGGTTCACCAGCTCGTCAGCAACATGGCGCGGCGGGACCATCTCCTCCAGATTCCAAGACTTGTTGCGGAAAGCTCGCTGGTGGTCCTGCCGCTCGCGGGCCCACATTTCTCCTTTGAAACTTTTGAAGTTCTTGTAGTCCGGATTGCGCTTCAAACTACTGCGCTGCCCTCTCATGAAGACAGAGACATCATCGAACTACACGAGACAAGGTCAGCGACAGTCAATCACTCCAAAAGAGAAAATAAAAAGCGCAGCTCACTTACAAAGGCCAGAGTGACAGCCGAATGGCAGCGTCCACAGTAGCGCGTCCGACTCTTCTTCCCGCGGAAGCACGATCGCGATGAAAGCTCCTTGACGTCGTCCGTGAGGTTCTGGGCCTCTGGGGCGACGACGCGCCCCGCCGCCTCCGACGGAGCGTCATACCCCAGGCTCTCGGGGGTGTGGATGGGGCCCGTCTTGGAGAGCGCGGCCTCCAGGAACTGCACCCGGTTGCGCAGCTCGTGCAGCTCGTCGGAGCGCGCCTTGGGCTTGGTGATCTTGTTCGCCGACGACTGATGGTGCTTGGAGTCGAACACATACAACCCACCGTGAGCGGGACTGGCGCGACTGGTGGTGGCGGATGCCCGCGCACGTTCCGAGGGGGTATTCTCCCCACGCCGCGCGTCAGACTTGGGGGGTTGGTGTCCGACGTAGACGCATTGATCAGGGGTCTTGGACTTGAGGCATTGGCCGCATGGCAGCGCGCGGTCGCATTTCAGCTTGCGGCGCCGACAGATGGTGCAAGACAAGGGCGGTCTGCGCCGCCGGGCGGGCGATTTCGCCGGCGAGGTTGGGCCGGATGGGTCGGGCTGAAGCAGAGGATCTCCATCCATGGCAGTGCTTTGCGGAGAAAGGGGGTCTGGGAATAAGATGAGAGAGAAATGAGTTGAGATGAGATGAGATGAGACTAAGCTTGACCCCCGCGTGATTGCGCTAACTAGTAGCCCCGGAAAGTTCTTATGTATCTCCGTCAACAAGCGGACTGCAGTAGTGAGCTGTCAGTCTCCAAACAGAGGATGAGCTGCGCTGGAAGTTGTCGACGGACATCCTCTATGTCAACATGAGTCAATGCGTTTGAATGATCTGCACCACGTTTTCTTAACCAAGCTTGGTGCGTTTTCTGGTGGATGAGATTAAATGTTCGATAATGATGAGAAACCGAGCCAGCGCAGACTGAAAGTCGTTTGCTCGCAGTTTTCGGAGTTGCCGCACTGGGCCTCTCCGAGGAGCCGTCGGACTTACCACTTTCGGTTAGCGCAATGCCATAAGGCTGTATGCATTCTTGCCAGATGATTGTGAACACTTTTGATTTGCGCATAACTTATATCTTACAGCACATTTCAAAGTGCAGCTGCTTTGAAGCGTGTTGCAAATGAAAAACAATTAATGCCTTCCTACAGACAGCAAGCCAGGACGTCACAATTCCGCTGATTCCAGATCCCCGTCAAGAATCCTACTCATAAACGCACTCCTTAGGCAACAGTAGACCGGCAAAGCTAGTACACACTCACAAGCTTACACCACCCTCATCCTCACCATACGTACAAACCCTTCATTGAGACGCCCCAACAACATCAATCACCACCTTCCCAAAGTGCGCACCGCTCTCCACAAACTCGAAAGCCTCCCGCGCCTGCGCAAACCCAAACACGCGGTTCACGACCGGCTGGATCTGGTGCTTCTCATAGAACTCGACCATCCTCTCAAACTCATCCCGGGGCCCATTGATAATCCCCTGCAGCGTCACATTCCGCCGGAGGGTCAACAGGTTGACGTTGACCCGATCCTCCGGCTCATCCATCTTCCCCGAGACGTACCCGATGCAGTTGATCAACCCGCCAAAGGCAATGCACTCGAAGCTCTTCCGCAGCGTCTTCGCGCCCCCGGTCTCAAGGATGATATCCACGCCATTCCCCTCGGTGAAGCGATTAACCTCATCCTCCCAGTCAGGCGTGGTCCGGTAATTGATCGTAAAGTCGGCGCCGAGGGCTTTCGCCTGTTCGAGCTTGGCATCCGACGAGGAGGTCACAATAACTTGAGGGATTGGCCACAGTTAGCTCACACACACACAGAGAGAGACGCCTATACACCCCCCCCGCCCCACCTAACGAGACCCTTCAAAAAA